CCACACCAGATTGGCTGTGTTTCTGTCAGCATGCATCACTTCTGGCTCCAGATCTTCCCAAGTGCCAAGTCTTGGCTCTGGGTTTTGACACTCACTTGGATTCATGCATTAGGAGAGAAGTGTAAAACTGACAGACATCCTCAGAGAGGGGAGCAATCTATTTTGTGATGGAAATGGAACATGACTTTTCTTCATTAATGTCATCCCTGTGGAAGAGAAGAACTAAGGTATTTGTGAGTGGTCTGCATTTGTGTTTTAAATTTCCACATCAACCTTCGGCACCAGAGCCTGGAGAGAGCAGGCAGCAGCTGGAGAACCTCAGCACTTTGCTTCATTCCTACCCCCCAGTCAGGCATGGCCTCTTTGTTCACACTTTACTTACAGTGTTTTAAATTGAGTCTCTCATCTGGTTTTACCTTGCTTTTCAAAGATGGCACTGATCACTAAAAGGCTGATTTATTCTTCATAATTCACTAATAGTTGTATCTCAGTGGTTACTTTCTACGGAAAGATGGAGCAAAAACAGTGTTTCTACAAATGATCACACTCTTTCCTGACTTCTTTGGAAAAAGAAAATTGTTAGTAACTGTTGTGATATAATTTTAATCACAGTGGACAATAATTCCATAAAGTGCAATTCAAATCAGTAAGACCAGCCTCTGACCAATCATTTTTCAGTTGGGTTTACAATTTTCCCCATGAAAAGGATGGTCTGAGTATACTGATCAACAATCAACAGCAAAAATGGATGATTGAATTTAACGATGGGAGGAACAGAATGAGGAAGAAAATCTACGCTGCTGGCTGCTGCAGCCTCTGTGCCATTTTCATGAATCTTCAACAGGGCCTTGTGAGTAGCCTGCAACAAAACAAAGCAGGAATTAATGTATTTGGAAGATGTGGTGTGAAATTATTCAAATTAACACAAAGTTAATTCAACCACTGCTTTTCACAAAAAATGCCCATCAGCCAGGTACCAGGAAGAAGGGCACTACAGCCCATTATAGGTTTTGTAGCAGTTGTCTCAATAAGCAAATATTCTCTCATTCAGTGTTCCTCACCACAAATGCATCCAATGAAAACCTTAGCAACTGCACACCTTGTGGAATTAATTGAATGTAGAATAATCAAACAAATTCACAGGGAATGTCAGTTTCAAAGGGAAAGGAAATGGGGCTCCAGAACTGCTCCCTTGGTGTTCCTAACAGCACATGCATTACAGTTTAGTCAGGTAAAAATTCAACCTTAATACCAATATTTTTGTTAAATTGTTGTTGGACATTTTTAATATTTTTGTTTAACTAGCCCCAAAACGCTAGAACATTCTGCTATTTTCAGAATGGCTGTAACAATGCTAGCCTTTATTTTCACATTAGTTTCAGTAAATGGGATGCTTTCCTCAAGTCTGGTCCATTTTACATTGCTAGCACTCAGCAGAGCCTGTGATGGTAACAGCTGTTTTTAAATCTTTTGAAATTATAGAATGCACATTAGAAAAAAGTCACTTTTTCTGGTGGATATGCACAAGACATCCACAACACAGCTACCCATAGGCACTTCTTTTACCTGCAGAAAATATGCTGTGTTTAATTTCCTTGAAGTTTTAATTTAATTCCAATGTTTAATTACCCTTAACCTTTGCCTGTCAGACAAAAGACAATATCGTTTTCTCCAGATCTTGGAGAAGTCTGAGGAAGTTTAAAGGGACTTTATCAGCTAAATGTTCTATTTTAGAGTATCAGCCAGCTCTAGCAATACATAAACTATCACAGGTGAGCTTGGGATAAGGCAATTGGGTGTAACGGAATCCACAGTTTGTTGTTTCTGCTGACAAACTTACTTTTGAAACCTTCAAGTCAGGGTTTCCTGTGATTCCGGACAGATCAGCCCGATTAGAAAACACATCAGTTACACCCAGATTCATTAAGATCTTCTTTAAGTCATAGGTGCCTGAAATTGACAGTTTTGGAATATGCAATTCCATCCTCCTGTTAAATCAAAAGAAAATTATGGTTGTTATTGAAATCAGAGCATGCCTTGGACTGAAGAGTCCCAATCTGCTGGTGGTTTCTTCTGTGCTAAAATGTGTGCTTCTGTGCTAAATGAGCCTGGACTTTTCATCTAAAAAAGATGGCAAGAAGAGGAAGATGGGAAGATGCTGGTCTGGAGGGTAGGAATGTGTGGAAGAAGAAAGACATCAGCTCAGGTTTCTTGTATGATTCTGCAACACAGTCACTTGATGAGACAGAGCTGCCAGCACTTCTGGGACAAAGTATGCCTTCTATTTCTAAACTTCAAGGCTCTGCTTTTGGAATTCACATTCCCTCTAAAGGATGTGGCTGCTATGTCTTTAAATATTTTGCTTGAGATGAGGGGAAATGGAGACACTTAGTACCAACTAGGAAATGTAGGGGAGGGGGGAAAGAATTACATTTCCCACCTCACAGCTCTCTCATCACAAGGCAATGCTGATTTAATTTTTATTGAAAATATCAAATCATTTGTTCTGACCCTTTCTACTTATTACATTGCTTAAACCTCCCATCAAAAATACAAGATAGTAACTGTAAAACCTGACCAGAGCATTCAGACTTTGGATTCTAACTACCTTGAATTATCAAATCAAAATTCTGTATTTACCATCTTTGAAGAGATCTTTCCCATCTAGACACAGGGTTTTTTGTCAGGGCACGTTCCAACTGTTTCATTTTTCCTTTATTGGGCAGGATAAACAAAGCTGCAACGTCTCCCTTGTAAGGAATCTGCACAACCTTGCAAGACAGCTTCCTGTCAGAGAATGCTTTATAAAATCCATCTCGAGTCATCATCTCCACTTCAACTGAGGTCTTTGCATTCACGTGGAAATAGTCCTTGTGAGTCCCCTTAATATTGAAAGGATTTTCCCAGTAGGCTTAAAACCAAAAGAGAAAGAATGGAATTGAACATTTCTTTCAAACAGAATATATTAATACAGTTCAGACTAACGTACAATAAAGAAACCCATATCTGAAGGTTTTCACTCATACTTGAAGAGAAAAACTATTCCAAGTTCATTGAAGATCTTATTCTGTCATCTTTGCTGTACTGTGTTTCATAACAATTAAATATCCCAGGTTAAATTTTGTATGGACTTGTATAATATTTTTCTAAGTCAGATAAATTAAATGAAGTAAGTTAATCATACTACCTTAGGTTTTATTTGCAGCAAATGAAAACTGACCAGAATCCAGTGATTCAGTAATTTGCTGTTTTCAGAATATTGCTTGTAAAGCAATGCTTGCAGCTGATGTCTGCCTTTTAAAAGGTAATATGTTAAGCGCCTCACATGGTTTTAAAATGTTTCTTATCTTGTAGCACTAAGGAGAAGCTTACATGCTAGAAAAACACAAAGATTTGGACCTGAACATAAATTGCAGTACGGTGAATGAAATAAGGCCTCAGGAACTTTAGTCTTCAAAATGGTTCTCTCTTATTCAATTGAATTTTCTATCATATTTTATTTTGTATTAAATCAGGTCATTTACCAAGCAAAGAGACAAGGATTACAGCTTGCCTATCTGGAAGTTTTGGTTTTGGTTATTTTTTTGTTTGTTTGTTTGTTTTCTTAACGTTGAATAGAAATAGGCTAATTTGAAAAATAAATAATAGAATATAAACTCCACATGAATGTAATCATAAAGTATTCTGGTTACTTTGTAAGTTTAAGCCTTCATCTTGCCCTCCAGAAAGGAAATATACACTGGTATGGTACTCAGACTAGGGCTCCTGGGACTAGGGCACCTGAATTCAATTAATGATTTGAAATAAAACCTATTTTACTGAAATGTCATCCATTTCCAAATATTCCTTTCGGGGGGGGGGGGGGGGGGGGGGGTGTGTGTGAAATTCCATGTATGTCCTGCATGCTGCTACAAATGAACCTAACACCTAAGAAGAAGTTAATCATTTCCAAAGTCATGAGTTCAAATATCTGTTGGGATTTGTATAATGTGATGACAAGGTGTAGAAATTTGGACTCCAGCTCCAGAGGTACCTATCCATTTAATAGTCAGGGACTGTAAGTAAATTAAAGTTTTTGGCAAGTTTTGTTAAACATCATCTTTGGAATTTAGGTTTTTACTTTGCACATACAATGTAAAGACATTGTAACTTTTAGAATGATAAGTAGATGAAGTATGACTGGAAAATTTAACAATGCATGAACCTATTGTGCTCTTGCAATTCCCTGAACCTGAATATTGTAACTTAATGAATTTTATGCTTAGAAGACTAAATATATGCTAGTGAAATTTAGATGTGGAATAGGTTTCAAAATTGAGAACATTCAATTGTCTTTTTTCATCTAAAAACTTCCATTTAAAAATTGTTCTGAAATAACTTGGAGTACTTGTTTTAGTGCAGGTGAAACAGAYACTTCAGTAAAGAGCATCTATGTAACTTACCTTTGAAATAAATGTAGTTAACAATTACCATCAGAGTGTTTGGATCAAGGTCCTCAAGTATTTGGTTGATATTCCCATGGGTTTTATTCTTTACATAATCATTGATCTCTTTTTTAGCTTCAGTGGAATTCTGGAAGTTACTAGAAACAACTTTTCCTCTGTACAGATTTTTTACRTCCTTCAGAAATGTTTTCATTGGCTTCAGGTGTTTGTCCATGAACAGGGTGTTCCCCATGCTCAGCTGCACCTGGCTGCCAGGRCGGTTCAGCAAGAGGAGGAGATGACAAAAGCCATTGTGGATCTCCTCCTTCTGGATGCTGGTGAGGTTAAAGGCCAGCCCTTGCAGCACCTGAGCCTGGCTGGTGCCTCGAGAGCCCAGGGCCAGAAGGGCAAAGGCAGCAGAGATGCTGACTGGGGAAAAGAAAATGTTCTTGCCAGGTTCTTGGGTGTTTGCTTGCCTGTAAAACTGAAAGGCAAAGTCTGTGTTGCTGGGGACTATCCTTTGGCAGGACTCAAGAGGATCTCTCTCGTGGGAATGCTGCTCCTGGGGGTCAGTTGCCTTAGGCTGGTCAGTGTGGTGGTCAGTCTGGGTCAGGCTGTGGACACTGAGGTGAAGCATGGCCACCAACAAGCACAGTGGGAGGGTGGCCTTCATCATTCTTCACAGCTACTGCGTGGACAAAGAACAAAAGCTCTTGGATGCTGGAGGTCAGCTGTATTGACATCTGATCTTTTATTTCTGTCTGCTACTGCCTTCAAGTGGTAGTCACTGTTATCTCCTGACCTCCTCCTTTACTATGGAAGTGTTTTTTAAATCCTTGTTCTTCTGAGTTTACCTGTAATTCCTCTCCATTGCTGCCTACTTCAGTTCTGTTTTATTCCAGCTACAAAAATTCCTCGGTGGTGGGGAAAGAAAGACGCGAGTATTAAAGAAAATTAGGAATCCAAGGGAGAGAAGTGAAAAGGTGAGCTTTTTTTTTTTTTTTTTTTTTTTTTAAATGCCAAAGCAACACTTCAGAAGCATTGTGATTAATTATTTTATGTTTGTCTCTTAAGAACTCCTAGGGATATTATGCTATTGGGATTGAATGAGGCATAGGTTAAATGACACTGCTGCAATGCTCTATCAAAGAATGACACTGCAAGACTGCAGCATTCAAAAGTGCTACTTTCTCTTGTTCCTGACTGGTTTTAACATAGAAAGTGACTAATCATAGGGGCTGGTAAAACTTTTCTGCTTCAATACCTGCTTATATTTGAATATGTTTGTTTATTTTTAATGACCACTCATGTGTTACATGTCTTCCAGATGGGTTCCTTCTTGTGTGTATCCCACATCAGGTTATGGGAAGATGAGACCACTGGTGTGGACGTGGCCTCTCCTATCTTTCCAAACTTCTTATCATCAGGGAAGTGTCCTTTTGCAAGGTAAATATATGCCTAAGAGCATGAGAGCCAGAGTAGTGCTCAGCAGCAAGCCAGGGTGTCATCTTGGGCATTTGTAGTGTCTCTGATATTTTTTTTTCTTTCTTTGTTTACTGCTTTCTCTTTTACCAGTTAGACCGAGAACCTGCTGGGATGATTTGTGATGTCTAAGGTGCTTAACCTGCCAGAAAACAGGTAAGAGCTATTCCTATTAAAAAGATGGCACAAGTGACTAGAAAAACTCCAAATAGCCCTCACAGAGTGTCCTACTTGAAACAGATCAGCTTCAGGCAGAAGATTACAAGTTAGCTGCTCACCCCCCAAACAATGGTAAGAGGACCCAAAGACATGGGTTCAGCAGAGCAGATGAGATGATGTTTACTGGGATTTTCCCCACCCGAAGACAGCACTCTGACCAGTAAGATTTGGTTAAAAGGATCCAGCTTGTCTTTCTGCAGCTTTGCTCTGTGTGATCTGGGTAAACTGGAATTTACAGAGGACTTAGRCGTAGCAAAATCAGTTTGTGAATTCTGTCTGGACCATCTTTACTCATTCACTTCAGTTTTSGTTATCTAGTTGTAAGCTTTAGGGAAAATTAGTTATGAAAATAAAATTGACAGTTGAGAAGTCAGGATACTTATTGAAACAGATTTCTTCTAGATGTTTTTGAGCTATTTGGGATAAATATTCAGAACAGAGTCATACTCCGTGGAGCTGCTATAGTGAATCCCCCAAATTTGCTATTTGATATTTCTTGAAATTAAATTCAACTGTCATTTGAGTGCTTAGAAAGTAGGTTTTACCCTTGAAAGCAGATGTGTTTTATGACTCACTTAACTAAATATCATACAGCTGGCTCAAAATCATTAAGGTAAAGATAACTGGGTACTTACTTTACATTCAGAAGGCTCTTGCTCTCAGTGGGTTGTGCTGTTTCTTGCTGCTTTACTCGTACTGCTGTTTTCCTCTGTTAAACATTACATGGCTTCAGATACACATTACCTGGAAGCACAGTGCTGCATGCTGATGAAGAAAGTTTTCATGGACTTTGTGTCCACATCTCTTCACTCCAAAGAGAGAGCAAAGACCATAGGGCCCAGCTGGTCAGTAGAGTGTTACATCCCAAAGGATATGCAATCCTAAGCAAATATTTATTGGAAATTATATTTTGGTGGCAAGAGCAGTTACTCTGCTCTGTGTGCTATCTGAGATGGATATAACTGTTCATCTGGAGACACAATTTTGCCCAGCACTAAACTCTGTAAGGCCAGGGTGAGGGAGCTACAAGGAGCACTACTTGTCCTCAGCCATGCTACCCAGCTTACTGGGCTCCACTTATGTGTCAAAATCTTTTATTTCTGTGCAGCAGAAACCTCATTGGTCACTATTCAGAAGCCAATGAGTCCTGTTGGCCTCATAAATAAAGAGGGTGCCTCCTCCAGTCATGTAGGAATAGTGAATTTTAGCTGTATGACAATTAATTGAATGCTCTCCTCACAACCAATTTTTTCTTACAGATTCTTTCTGTATCTCTGTTAAGGACCACCTAATTTATCATAACCCGAAAAATACTTAATGTAGATTTTTGCAATTCCAAAAGCTGTATAAAGTATGAGCCATCACTGCAAGTGCCCAGAGACAATACTGAACAAATGCAACTGCTGTAATGTATATGAACAGCAACCTAGTCTCAAATACATCAAATAACAAATGATGGAAGAGAGTAAGGAGAGTAATCCAGATATATTAACCAGTAATAAATTGAGGCAGTGTCGAACAGTAAGTCTCATCCTTCTTATAAATATGTATTTCTCAGGAATCTTCCAAAGGAAGATAAATGCTGTGAAGCAGGTTTACCACCATTCATGAATGGATGAACTGTTCAGATTCATGGTTTGATGAGCCAGCCAGGAAAATGCCTGATTAGTCCCTCCATGCCTCTGGTGCTCTTTGCGGGACTTGGTCTGCTCAGCAAGGTGCAGCACAATCCCTGGATCCTGGAGARCCAAGGAGATGTGGGTGTAAACCAGTGTAAACACAGTTGTTGCCAATCCCCAGTTGTGCTGCTTTCAGATGTAATTCTTTACCTACTGGATCTAGGACCTTGGTCATGCAGATAGGTTACCGGGACKGTATTTACAGACAGCACTTTTTAAAAAATTTTCATCTTTTCCTTTTTTTAAATTTCAGAATGTGGCTTAACTCTGCATGCTTGCTTTAGAAATAGCCAAAGTTTGCTGTTAAATATTTTGATTTTGAATTTGTATTTTTTTCTTAGTAGAGTACCAATTRCTGCTGTCCCTTGGAGCACCTGTGAAGGTCAGGTGAGACTTGATGAAGCAGCCTGTTTTGTTTTTTTGCCAGCCACAAAAACCCTGCATTAAATTGAGTGAAGGTGTAGCTAGAATGCCCGATGGCACAAATGCAGTTCTTCAGGAAAAAAGAGAGAGGTGCTCATGTTGCTCCAAGACAGTCAAGATGTTGGTGGTTCTGGGCACTTCTTTAGTCATACACGTGAGCGGTGTTAAACATTTACACTTCTATTAAACATTGCATGGATCAGAAAAAAAACCCCTGTCTGAGGACACAGATAAATGCTGATGTAGCCATGCAGAGAAAGTAGAAGTCAGTGCTCTCAGGGCCAGCTGGCTCCAATGTTTGTTGTCCCCAAACATTCACAACAGCCATCTGCAAACACACTTAGAAGAGGGTAGGTCCATGGCTATGAGCAGCTGGACTATCCCATACACCTTCCTAGCTTATTGCCAGCTGGTGAAACAAGGGGTAAGACATCTCCTGAAGTGTGTTACGGCTTGCACTGGGGCTTTAGTGTTCTGATCATGCAGTTGGGGCCCCTGCTTCAACATGGCACTAAGAAAAGCAGAGCAGARGAGGTAGTTAACATGTAACTTGTTTTTTCTTCCCCCCACAAATGAACTTGGCAGCAGTTCAGAAATAGTCCTACATTCAAGGGCTTTCTTTGAGCCTTGGTTCAGTCACAACAGAGGAGGAACCCTGGGCACTGGACCCCRTCGTGCTGCTGCAGGGCCAGCTGAAGCAAAAGAGAGCAGGAAAGAGATGGTGCTGTAAAGCACCAAAGCAAGCATTGAGGCTAATTCTGGATTCCCTGCATGACTCTGAGGTGAACCAAAAYACGCCTCAGTACAGTGAGAAAACGGTGTCAGAGACACAAGCACAAATCTTTTTGCCATTCAACATTCCTCTGTATTAGTGAAATCTTGTTGAAAGTCAGCATGGATTGATTTTTGAAACGCTTTCAAAATCTGCTTCTCTTTGCTTCCATTATCCTCATGAGATGCCTTGAAGAAGAGGTTCATAATCCTACCAGGGAGGTCAGCAGAGGTTCTCCAAGCCAGCAGTTGGTCCACGCCAGGGCCTGCTTCTGGAGACAGTGTGTAAAGCATGCCTACACTACTACTTTGTTTTACACCTTAGTTCCTTCCKAAAAATGTGATTCATTCCTGCTGTTTTATTCCAAATGCTTCTTTTAAAAGCTACCTAGGTTTTTCATCAGCAAATACTCAGCTTCCCTTGCTGCAGCCCCAGCCATGCCCTACTGAATGCAATGCAAAGCATCACTCTATAGAAACATTTACTCAGGCTGTTACAAAACTCTCCTGTAATTTTGAGCACTCTGAAAGAAAAGTAATGGCACTGTCTGAAAGCAGCAAAATGTCAGCCTTGGCTGAGGATGGACCTGGGTGAAGTATTTGCAGAGTAGTCACAGCCACCCCTCTCCAGGCCTGTAACACCCTCACTGTAGAACACATATGTGCTATAGATGTGAAACCCTCTCTGTTGGCTGGCCCAAGGCTGTCTTCATGTCCTGTCCACAAAGACAGTACTTGCCTTTCCAAACTTCGCCATTGCTTACCCTGGCACCAGGCTCCAGCTGAGAGGATGCAGTGACAGTGGGGAGCTGGGGGTGGTGGCTCTGGGGCAGTAGCCACTGTTAGGTTGAAGAACTCACTTAAAGTTCAAGGCATACATGTTTGCAGTCAGATTTTCCTATTAATTTTTATTCTTGCAACAGGACTGAAAGGTCTGCCAACCCTGGCTTTCCAGCCAGCAGTGAAGGAAGATGGATGCATGGAAGGTAAGCCATGCTGTTTTGTTGAGGTTCACATAAGAATCTTTCCTGTATTTCTTTTCCCACAAATATTTTTCTTATCTTGTTATTCTTATTTCTCTGTTATCCCATTTGGCAAAACCCACATGCTCATTTATACTGTAGATAGAGATTAATTTCAGGATCTTGTTACCTTAATGAGTCTTTCATAATTTGCATAATTTGAGAGGTAAACATATCCATTTCAAACAATGATAATAGAAGCTACAGATGATGAATGGTGTTGTCAAGTTATCCAGGAGGAACATGGATTTATGATTSACATGCCAGTCAAACGTAATGTAGCAAGAGTTCAGTTTCTGACTGCCATTAAAATCATTACTTCAGGATAACGAATTTTGTATTTCATAATTTTAAAATGTGTTCAAGATTTTCTCTAATTTTCTTTTATCTATGTAAAAAGCTGTCTCAATTAGAGAAGTGCAGTGAGAAACACAGTTCAGGTGTAAAGAAATGTAGCAAAGTGATTGTCTTACTATTTTCATATTTCAAACTCTTGAAAATAATATTTCAACATTAAAGCCTCATGAAAAAAGAAAGAAAATCCCATTTTGTTGCATTCATTAAACTCTCAAAAGTTTCCTTTCTATGTATTGTATTTATTTATTCTGAGAAAAACTAGAATTTATGTATTAAATACACTCTTTTCTGTGTTGTATGGAAAGTGAACTTCTTAAACTAGAATGGCTGGAAACAGATTTCTAAATCTGTGTTTATGGACCAAACTAAAAATGTCTTAGTAATCAATCTGTACTTCATGAATATATTTGGCAGATATTTGAAAGAAACATTAAGGTGTTTGATATTATTTGCTGGCCAAGACGTGATTTTATCCAGGAGCCCTGCTGCTACTGAAAGAGTGTAATTTTAAAACTCTGACTTTGAAATCTCTAGTCATTGTCATGGAAAATTTGACCATGAAAAAGTTTTACTGGTCCTTAGTCCTTTAATTATATATATATATATTAGTAGTAATGATTAACTTACAAGAGACTCTAGAAACAGCAATGTAATATCTTATATAAGGCATGCAAACACAGGTTCTGGAGGCACTGAAACATCTCTCAGCAATTTGCTTTGTTTTTCTTGTTAGCACACTTGCTAAAGAAACATAATTTTGCTCTTAGCTCTAATACAAACACAGTTTGTGTGCAAGATCTTTCTGATCTGATGTATTGTATTCATACTTTCAAGAGCGACAATCATGTTGAGTTTTTTCATTGATATTAAAGAAAACTCCCCTCATGTTTTCACTTGGCTAGGGCTGATAGCATTGCTGACTTTGAGTAAGCATCACACAGCGGCTGTGCAATGAGCCGTGCCTAACAAAGCAATAAAGTTTAATTAGCCCAGCTTAATCTGACGGTGTGCTTTTGGCACACTGTCTGTTTGTACAGCTGGCTAGTGATGCATGCATGCATATCAAATAAAGATCGCTCCTTGAAATTTTTCTGTGCTTCTAGTATTGTGTAGTTGAATTTCAAGCTCTCTTCTCCTGTAGACTCTGCTTCCCTCTGTATMGTTTAAAAACAGGTCTCAGTGAAGAAGATTAACATGTTCCTCAGTTTGAGTTTTGGTAGAGGCTGATTTCAAGCTAAATGTTGGCAATGCCTATACAAATTTCATCTTCTTCTTGTTTAATCTTTTAATCATGGCAACGGTTTAGATCACACAAGAAACCAAAATCTGTGCAGCCAAGCCTCTTACCCGTAATATCTCCCACATGTAAAATTGTTTCAGGGTACAAAAGCTCTGAGTACAGCACACAGGCTGCTTAAGGCAGCATAAGGTCTGCACAGAAATAGTAGCAGATTAAAGTTTRTATCATCTTCCTTTGTACTTTAAAAATATGATTTATAATTTTTTTCACATGTTCATCATGCCTTACATGGATTTGCAAATTCAAAACTCTGAGCCAAGGTTTCATCAGTTCTTTTTGCTGCAGACAGTTTAACCTACAGCTGTATCCAATGATAACCACTGAATGATGAGAAGAAAAGAACTGCATCTACATTCAGCAGCCCAAGCTAGTGCTGCCTCTGTCTGCTTCCCAGCAAAATTCAGCAGCTCTTTGTGAATGCCCTGCAAAAAAAGTGGGCAAATTTCATAGGAACAGAGGTTGAACAGTAAAAACATAAAGAAGGGTTGCTTCAGTGGCTCCCTGGAGTGATTTCATCTGAGGAAACCCAGCCCAGGGACAGGAAACAGATCTACCTACTAGAGAGCAGGGAACTGGAAATGCTAGAAAGGGGCTCTGAAAAAGCAGGAGAGAGATGTTCTGTGCTTCTCTAACAAAATACATGCATGTTCTTAGTAATAAAATTTTCAACTTCTGTCCATCGGTGTTGTCCAATGTTTTCTTGAAGCAAACTTCTAATCAATATGGCATAGAAGTGTTAAAACTTGACGATTATAATCAGACATTAAAACATATTTCTAAAACTCTATGTAAAATATTTTACTGTTCAGGAAAGCAGAGTTAACATAACAAGTGTCCCAGTGTGTTTGCCCCATAAGTTTTCTGCCCGTGCAACAGAATCTTAAAATCAAAATCTAGGTTGGAAGAAGCTCCCAGAGGCCATCTAGTCCAGCCCTTTACTSAAAACATCAGGTTTCTCAGGTACATGTCTCCAAGCAGAGGTATTTTACAACCTCTCTGGGCCATGTTTTCCAGTACTTAACCACTGCTTGGTAAAAAAAATGCTCCTTATTAGAATTTTCTAAATTTAAACTGTTCACTGATCTTCTCTTTAGCATGATGAAAATTCCCCCCCCCCCCCCAGCACTGAAAGGCATCGATATTTGTTACAGAGGTTAATTTTATGCTATTTCAGATCGATGAACTCAAAGACTAGAGTGAAAGTAATGAGGGAAAAAAGGGGCTTTAATTAATGTCTTTAGAAACTACTTCAAAGAAAGACTAGAACACGCAAAAAATCCACAGAGTGTAAAAATAATTCCTCATTTTTGCCCACAGAAATGAGACATAAGACTTAGGTCTCAGTGGTCAGTTCAGTGCTGCCAGACTCCATGAATACTGAAGTGTTTGAGAGGCTGTTTTTCCCCTTAAACTTCTCTTGACCTTTCATCATCTTCCCCCACCCAAATTCCATCTTCATCCAAAGCACACACATCACATCCAGTTGGAGTTCCTTGGAAAAAAAAATGGAGCTGGATTTCTTGGGGGATCAAGGGAAGAACATTTTGAGAATCAATGTCAGTAAGAAAGAAACTAGATAAACATAGATTTTGCTTTTAAATATAGAAGTAGRGGATATATCTGACTTTTCTTACTACATCTGAACTAGCTTGCTCCTATAATTTTTGAGGTGTTGAATTAAATTAAGATGTATATATGTGGTGTCTAAATCTGTACAGCAATACAAGTACAGAAATAATACTTCTTTTAAAGACACAAGAATTAAAAGTGTGTGTTTACCCTAACTGTTTTTTTATCTCTTCTTTTTCTCCATTTCTTTTTAGTAGAGTGAATTATTTCTTTAAGGAACTTSCATGTTATACTATCCAAAAACTGGCCAAAAACTGAGTCATCTCATATTGGAATAGGTCCGAGTTTCATATGTGATTCATAGCACTGTACCGAACGAGTTGGAGCCTGAACTAAAACTATATTTAACGCTCCTACCATAGCAGATGTGCAAAATCAAAAAGAGAGAGGTAGCCATCTCCTCACTAAGCTTGTCAGGGAGCAGTCTCTGAGCAGACAATGGGATGGAAATTGCTGGCAGAACAGATATCAATGTTTCAGGAAAGAAACTGCCGCAGTGTGCAGTGCTCTAAAAATGCTACATGGCTTGGTGCAGGGAGAGCCCCTTGTACTCCCAGAATAAGGAGGAAGGAGCAAGAAGTGTTTGTGTCACATCAGCTGCCAGCTCCTACATGYGACCTTGCTGTGAGGAAAAAAGTTCAGAAAGTCGGTGCCAAAGGCTCAAGGACATGTGAGAGACAGAAACTTTGAGCCTTATAGATGCTCTGAAGTGCATAAAAGACTGTGCAAATGAAGTGTCACAAAATGATACTGGAGYGCAATATTAACACAAGGGCAGAACRTTTATTCTGAGTGTTTCCAAGCTGTAAAACCTTGAGGGCCCTATGTGGCCAGCATGTGACATCCAGGCAAACTTGGAACTCCAAGCAAAGAAGCAGCAGTGCAGTTGTACGTGTGTGGGTCTGAGCCTGTGCCCTGTGACAAAACATCTAACTGGTAGATGTGAAAAGTTCAGCATTAAATCTTCTCTTTAACAATAATTTCCTTTTATCTCTTCCCACTGACATAYTTTTTTGGCTTATTTATGCCAAAAACTTCCCTTTCTGCTAATTAAGTTACAGCCAAGGCAGAGAAGGACTCAGAGTCTACATTGCAGGGTGGTCTGCCCGCGCAGCGGAGCTCATCAGCCCCAGTGTCCCATCAGGCTGCCCTTGCTTTCCTCCTTTCCTGTCACAGCAGATGCAAGAGGCGCCTCAGCATCAGGCCCTGCCTCTCACAGCACAACACAGCTGTCTCAGTAATCCCCCTCTTCCTCAGTAAAACTCCCTGTGACCTCTGCTATTTATTGGGGAAAGAACAGTGCTCTTCAAGGCATGTTCCTTCACAGAACCTCCAAGAATATTTCTGTTTTCTTACCATTTCACAAGAACAGCTGTTTTGCCAGTCATTCTTTTGCAGAGAGGAGCTGCCCTTTATCACTGCCATCAAATCCATCCTTAAGAAACTGAACCATGAGTAACAGACAATATGAGCTTGTCGCRTCTCATATTCACACCACTTGCAAGATGCCCCCCTAGTCAAGGTGTCCTCCCTGCCTTTTCTTTTATTGCTTGCACTTCAGACAGCATAAGGCAACTGAATGAGAATGTAAAAACCATCCTGGAGGCTGTAAATCATCTTCTGAGGAAGATTACTTCATTTTTGTCTTTATTAAATGCAGGCAGCTGTTGGCTTAAGTTCTTTCAAAGGTATTGTGACAAATGCCCAAGATGTATTTTTCAATTAACACATAACAAACACTTGTGGGTCCATTTAAAYTGGAGAAATCTCATAGGCAATGTCAAAGTCAGCTACTCAGTGGGAATGAGAGATCTGGAAAATGGTTTGGAGAGCCAACAGCCTCAGCTAGAAAATGCTTTGCTACTCAAAATTGCCTCTGGTTTTCTTCCAGTGTTTGTTGAACGTCACATGATTTGTAGGTAACAGTTAAACCTATCTCCACCATAGGTTAGCCTGGGTTTCTGAGCTCCTCATTTATGTTTTCAGTCTCTATTTCACTTCTAGTTCCTAAATACRACAACAAATACAGTTTATTGCTCTTTCCACACTGGTTGTTTTCCTTTTCTCTTTATTTCGGAGAGCTGCTCAATATGTGCTGTTCCAAAGCTTCTGTTGTGTTGGCAATTCTTCTTCTGTGGCAATTCTTCTGTGGCAATTCTTCTGTGGCAATTCTTGTTCTGGCTCCACCAAACTTTACAGAGGGCTGGTTCCAACCACAGGATCCCAGATTTCCCTCAGGGACCACACAGGGGGTGCTGAGGCTGCAGCTCCTGCGTGCTCTGGTTGCACTCCCACATCACACCTGCGTGTAGACACCAGTGCAGGCTGCATTGGAAGATGTCCTTTGCACTTTGTCCCTCATGTGGCTCTTCACACCAGCTCCATCCTCCAGCAGTGTCCCTGCATTGATGTGGCCCATCAGAGTGTTTGCATGCAGCAGCAGCAGCAACTCTCRACTAGCCAGGATGAAAGTGATTCCTTGGTTACACTGAGGTTTCTTGGTCACAAAACTCACAGTCAGAGAGACAACCAAGAAACAAAAATCCATGAAAGAAGAAGCAAAAAAGAAGCAGCTTGAAAGAACTAACACTGTGTCCTGAGTAAACCATGATTGTGACTGCAATAGATTTGTGACAACCTTAATACTGACAGTTTGTTTGGGGTTTCTTTGGGGGGGTGGTGGGGAAGGTGATGGGTTTTCCCTCTGTGCTTRTTCTTTACTACACAAATCTGCTGCCCATTTGCAGTGAGGGTCATGCCCTATTTAGAGTCAAAATAGAAGGAAAATCAAGGCAAGATGTGTATGGTTCCTACACCCTCAGGAAAATGATTCCTTAGCATCATATTTTCTGGTCATGCAGTTTTTAAATCAGCTTCATTGTTTKTCTATCCACTTTCAAATGAGTTAAGCAGCAAAGTTACTTCTCCAAGTGAGATGTGGCTGGCAAAATAGCATTTAGATTTTTTTTTTCCTGCTAACAGAGACTATTGATCTGAGGTCCGKGAGGAACATCAAACATGGTCTCTTGATATTTGGCTACACAATTATTTTTCATTGCAGAGTTGGACTTTGACAGTTCATCCTGAGTTAGCCCTGAGGTTTGGCAAGAACTTTTAAATGATCTCCTCTAGAATCWGCTTATCTGTATTACACCAAAACCAAGTCCTTATACGTTCAGAGGCATGAAGCCAGCTATTTGTTACTAAATATGAAACTTACTAAATACAGTTATGAGTAAGAGACTWTTGTCATTGGTTTATGTGATTTTGAGGAGGATTTGAAAGTAAATATCAAGYATTACCTGTCTGCAGATGGACACGGAAATTTTTTTCTGCTCCTTATTGGTATTCTTACAGCTACAATTTGCTCATATTGATGACATTGATTTAATGTGAAAGAAAGTAAAGACCCCCAAACCAARTATAGAATTGTGTTTTAGAAATATTCACCACAGTTTTTAAGTTATRTTTTTCTTAGACATCTTAAGAAACTAAGGTCTGAAATGTTGTCATTTATATTTTTTTCTTACCAGTTTGTGATATTCTGTAACAAAATATTGAATCAATCTATAATTTACATGTTTTTCATTGGTTTTCTATGTTTTAATAATATATGCTGAAGACATTGGTTTAAAAATTAAAGCAAAAAATAATAAAATACTTTAAATATTTGCTGCTTTCTGTTTCTTTCCTTTCATAACCATGTAGCTATCTAGAGTAAGTTGGATTMAAGAAACCTCAAGTTAAGAAAAGWTAAAAATATCAATTCCCAGTCTGTTTTTACTCTATAACAGTAATCCACTGCTAACATTTAGAACAGTGACTCCTAAAATATTTTCTACATTTTTTATGTGTGTTTATGATAGCTTCAAGCAAGTTAACAGTCCCAAGGAAAGCTCTGCTGTTTCTACTGAGGAAATACAAACTTTCTGGAGCTGTAATTTTTGGTTCCTCCATTTTTCTACCAYTATGTGTCATGTCTAGCTGAAAAGTGAATACTTAAGGCAGAATCAGTAAAAATGAGAAATTACAATGACAACAAATCCATGAAAAGGAAGCTGGTGCTATGCCATGGGCTACTCCACCAGGCTTTTATCTCGAGGCATTAGAAACAATAGTTATATTAATAGGATAAACCAGAAATTTTTATCTGCTATGGGTTCCTTTCTTAGTAGAATTAACAGTAGAATTTGCTGTAAAGCAAAAGCAGTCTCCTTGTCTCCATGAGAAGGGCTTCCACTGAGGAGGAGGCAGAGGAAGGCAAGCTAAAAYTGCTGCATTCATCAACCCTTTACATTGGGTGTGTCCTCCAGTGTCCCAGTCATTGATCCCGCAGTTTCATGCCATACTTGGTTACAAAACTTACAGAAATTAATGAAAATTCGCTCCAATATTAAAGGAATTTGCATCTAAGGGTAGTCATGAAAGTGAATTAAACAGATAGGCTTCACACCTTGTGCCTCCTTTTCCCTGTTTCTCTTCTCAAATGCACACCCTGTGACTGTACAGCAATACCTACATCACTGGAGACTTTGAACCAACTGAATACCCCAAGGGAACACGTCACAAAGGGATTCCTACAAAACCAGTGAAAAGGGAACTGTCTTTCATTAACACTACCTGCCATTCTCAGCTGTAGGCTGTGGGAAWTCCCAGTGACTTTTGGACAAGGAAAAAATACCGTTTGTGTTTTAAGGAATTAATAACGTTTCTAAGGGTAATGGATGAAAAAATGAGCACTAGCACACGGTGTTATGCACACATGAGTGTCTCACTGGGTCACAGGAGTCWAGCCAGTGATGTGCTGGAGTCTCGTCAATCAGTCATTTTTCCGAGGGTTGACGACTTTCCCGATGAAGAGGACGGTGYGGGTGAATTTATCCAGAATCAGCAGGAGGAAGGGCCTGTTGAATCTGACTCGAGGCGGGCGAGGAACATCACCAGATCTCCAGGTAATTTCCTTCACTGTGGCCCCGGCTGCCTCCGTGCCATTCTCATGGACATTCAACATGGCTCTGTGGATCACCTTTGAGGAACAAAGCAAAACAGCTTCCAGCTGACAATCCAGCAAGAGGAGAGCAGCCTGCCACCCTCCTCACTTTGGCCAGCCAGAGGTAGCCCTGCCTGGATGAGATTGAGCAGCTGCAGCCTCTGGGATGGTCATCACCAGTCACTCCCGTTCCCACCGCACCAACAGCCATCACACTGCTCAAGCCATCCTCCTGCACTGCTTGTGCAGAGAGCAACCCTCAAGCTGCAGGCAGCCAAAGAGCATTCAAGATGACTGATGACAAGAAACTCTGGAAGCAAAGAAACCTGGTAATTTAGCCTAGACTCAATTTTGTCTTTGGCAGCTTCATGTATTWTTGTGAATTTACCCTGTCATCTTGCTGAAAAAAATAACTTTTTGAGAACACTAAAAGGGCAGGAATAACAGCCTTTTGCCCTCTGTAGGAGGAATTGGAGGAAATTTTACCAAAGCTAATGATAATTACGTTTAGTAGCCAAAAGAACATTTAATTATATGTATGTCCTCYTCCTCATCCTCCAACCATGCCTTTCTAACCCCTTGTAAGCATGTTTGGCTTCAGGTTTATGAAAGAGAGGGCTTCCTTTGCCTCCAGATGGGCAGCTATGGATGATGGAGTGATGCTTCAGAGAGACTGGGATAAGCGTTTCATGGGATATTAATGTCGGGGTCCTGGGAATAGGCAAATCCTGTGGTTGCTTTCACATGCTGACTTACTTTTGAAACTCTCAGTCCAGGCTCCTCAGTAAACCCTGACAGATCGGCTTGCTCAGTAAACAGATCGACCATACCCATTTGTTTGACTATCTCTTTCACATCATAGGTACCAGAAATAGAAAATTTTGGAATGTGCAGATGTATTTTTCTGTAACAAACAACACAAATAGGAACAAATCATCACCTAGGAAACACTCTTCAATGGCTTCAGTATATTGACGCTTCACATTTGTTTTTCCAAACACTTACAGTCTTCTCTCAGGATTAAGATAGCACTTCTGGCCACGTTAGCTACTTAATGTGGAGAGTTGGAGCAGAGTAAGCCTGTGTTATCCCCTGMCTCTGCAGTGGGGTTCAAGGAGTGGGGTGGAAGACACAGCTATACCAGCTCAGTGGCAAAGAGAGCTACTACTGCCAGGCAGGAGGGCTTTTTTGAAAGATCCTAGCTAGCTGTGCTAAGGCTGCTCAAATATATGACAGGGCCTAGGTCACCACAGAAATAGCTGCAGTGATAGTGARTTGATCCACTTTTCCAAGCCCTAACACCCAATAGCTACGAACATTGCCCTCAATACCCTAACACCCAACAGCTACTCCATTGTCATTTCCCAACGCTCATTTGAACCAAGAGTCTGTTGACTTCATCATGGTGCTAAATAACTTTTGGCTGAACCAGGAACTTAACCCAAGATGAATYCCAAGTTCAATCACTCACTTGTTCACTAGCCACAGCTCTTTTTGTTTTTYGTTTTCCATATAAGAAAAGGGAAGTCCAGTGCAGAGGGACCATTAAATGTACAGAGTTCAGTTAAATAACCTGGCCTTTACTGTTCTGTCTTGGTGAGATAAACACTAATGATCTGTAACATGKTTATCTCTCACCTTAGCAAAAAAAGCTTACCTTTCTTGGAGGGACTTTTCCCACTTAGATATAGTCCTTTTCAAGAGAGCATCTTCCACCTGCTTCATCTTCCCTTCGTCAGGCAAAACAAATAATGCAGCAACATCTCCACTGTAAGGTATCTGAACCAGCCAACAGGACAGTGCTTCATCAAAGTAATTTCTGTAGTAACCCTTTCGATACATCATGTCAACTTTTACAGGTGTTTTCTCATCCACAAAAAAATCCTCCTGGTTTGTCAGTAATGTACTGAAAGGTTTCTCCCAATGGGCTTATGAGAAAAAGAAAATTTATTCAGTGAAATACAAAGAGGAATGGTCACAATGAATAAAACAGGACCTATTCCCACAGCCTTCCTTTAGAGCAAATAATATTTTCATGTTATTTCATCTTCAGGTGTTACAATATCATATCTTTTTTTTGTTTTTGCTACCTAAAGACAATTACAGGCAGATAATATTGAAAGCACTGACTCACTACAGCATGAGTCTATAATCTCATTAAAGAATTTACCAAACTCAAGAAAGATATTTGTTTTAAAATTTCACTAAACCAGGTGAGRACATATTTTTACTGGAAAAAAATATACATAGGTTTATAGCAATAGCTTCCAGATCCTGAACATGATTTCCTCCCTTTAAAATATTTAAACTACATTTTTTCACTTTTCATTCTCTGTAATAATCATTAGCTTTGCACTCTTTGACATCTTACCTTTAAAGAAGACATAGTTAACAAGAACCATTGCAGTGAGAGGATCAAGATTTTCCACTAGCTTAACAATTTTCCCATTTGTCTTTTCCTCAATATAACTGTTGATCTGATTCTCAGCACCAACAGAGTTGTTAAAGTCAGTAGAGAAGACATCAGATTCATAAAAGCTTTTGGCATCATCCAAGAACTTCTTTAGTGGTTTTAATGTCTCTTCTATGAAAAGGGCACTGCCCATGCTTAGCTGGAACTCACTGTCTGAACGGTTCAGCATGTGAAGGAGTTGGCAAAAACCTTCATGTATCTCCTGCTCCTGAGTCTTTTTCAGGTTAAAGGCAAGCCCTTCCAGAATCTGTGTCAGCGTCACAGCCTTGGCACCAAGTGCCAGCATTGCAAAGGAAGCAGAGATGCTTATGGGTGAAAAGAAAATATTTTTGTCCGTTGCTTCGGATGTGACCAGCTTGTAAAAGGAAAATGCAAAGTCAGCATTGCTGAAAACAAGTTTGAGAAAGGTTTTGTTCTTCAGTGGAGAAGCTCCTTCCCACTGAGAGCTATGTCCTGGATAATATGTCCCTTTAACATCATCCTGCCTATTRTGGTAGCGAGGATGCTGATGGCACAGGGCAGCAGTGTACAAAAYAGCCAGCAATAAATGCAAGGAGAAAGTGRGCTTCATTTTCCTTTCAGCCATTTCTGGAAAAAAAAAATAGATATACAAAATATGTAATGGAAATCAATTTGTTCATAGTGTGTCCTCCAGTGAAGAAAAACCCTGCTCTCAGAACACACATGTTCTCCAAAGTCCCACACAGTTATAATTCACATTTCTGTTGTATGTCAGTGTTCTCTGGAAAAAAATATGCCTCCTGATTCATTATTTCTACATATATAGTCTAGTTCTCTTTCAAAAGAGGTAACTTCAAACTTTTAAAAGTTTATGAACTTTAGTATTAGCATATTCTTTTAAAACTTATAAATAACTGGAAGTTTATGACCTTTTCCCCAGAGTGACTGGTATAAGTTGGTTTTGTACTCTGTACTGCAGGATGGTTACTGCAGCTCTATTAGCCTTCTTCAATTCATCAAATACTTAGAGAATTAAATCTGTATTAAACAAAAATGTAATATAAATATATATMATACAATTTAGAACCAAAATTAATAAATACTCCTACAGTTTCTTCAAAGATGAAAGACAACACTACTGGACTTTTTGGTAAAAGAGTGTATAGGCATTTCTATTTTTTCCAAACCAAGTTGTTACTTAATTATGCGAAGAACTTCCTTTACTATCAGTCCTTTCCAGCTTTTGAAATGTTTTGACTTTTCTCATAACAGGTATATTCCCTTGTTTACATGTACAAAGACACCAGTCTAAGACAGCAACATAACCCCCCAAAATGAAGTAATGAAACAATCCAAGGGAAAACTGGAAGGGTACTTACAGTGCTACAGTCTGGTCTTGTCCGTTCCTTCTTCTCTTCAATACCATTAAACAGAGTTAAGCAGAGCACCCTGTTAATCATTAATTAGTTCAAATAAAAATTCCAGTGAGGATGCACCACCAGCAGTGRCATTGGGTATTTTGGACAATTTGTCCAACTCAGGCACACTCTAACCATGCTGGGTGATGGGACTACAGACAAAAAGAAAAGGAGCAGAGACTGAATCTCTGGTTGCTTCCATGCTTGTGGAGTGACAGGAGGAACCTGCTGCTGTGAGTGTCTGGCAGGAGAGCCAGAGCCTTGCCCTTCATGGCTGGAGYTGAAAGCTGCGACTCGATGTGAGGGGCAGCCCTGGGCTGGGTCTGTCTGAGCCAGCACCACTCACACGGGATCCCTGCTGGAATGATCTTCRCTCCATCCTGGGGGCACAGCCAGAGCCATAACCTCTCCGGCAGGATTTCAAAACAGGGTTTGGATTCAGAAAGTCCTTCTGCCTCACTTCCTCAGTCACAGCCTTTGACACTATGTTAAATGGTTTTGGGGATTTTCTTACACCAGGCAGACTGTGTGATTGGTGAACAGTCTCTAAGTTTTTTAGGAGAACAACATGTGCATTACCACAGTGAAACATTTGAAATCAATACTGTKGTTTACTCATTGCTGTTGGCCATCACTGTGACTGAGTACCTGGGGAGTGGGGGAAGAGTTTTCACCTGGCTTTTTAGAAAATATACAACCCATCACTGCTAAGAAGCAGCACTGACTGCAAAGAGAAACATATGGTCAATGAATATTTTGTTTCCTCAGGTTAATGTATCATATGCCACTGAAATGGACACCAGGAGGACACAGAAGAGGCTGCCAATTCATCTTTCATCCAGTGATACAGAATACATGCTGGCATCACTGGATGATACTCAGGGTTGAAAATAATGTCTGAGCAAATCACTGAAGGAGAAACTAAGGCAAAAAATGAACTTTTTTAGACAGATCTGGCTGCCCACAGCCCTCTCTGCAAGCTCCCAAGCATTTGGTTTCTGAACAGGAGCCCCAGCTTGTACCAGATGTTGAAATGCCTGACATGAGGTGTTCAACACCTATGAATGAGAGCACACTGGTGGGGAGCTGCACTTCAGAAGCTGAAGGTRAAGCAGGAAAGGAAATTGCACTTTATTCTTCTCAATCTCAAACCAAGGCTCTTGTCCTGTGTTTGTCTTATATGGCTGCATTATCAAGCAGCAAAACAGGGCAGAGTATACCCTTTCCATTTTGAATTTAGCAGTGCCAATCTTCTGCTTACTAACCTAGGGGCTGAAACAACAGATGTTTTGATCTGGACACAAGACCCTCAAAACATTCTACTTGAGACAATTAGGCCCAAGTCATCCATTTGGCTCATATTTGGGCTGCAAGAGGTTGACAAGTAGATGAGGAGGAAGGCAATTCACAGCTTTCCTTCTGAGGATCTCCTGCTTAAAGATCAAATAAAATCTAAAACTACTTATTTGAGATGTGTAGATAATTATGTGTGAATAATTGTATGTATTTTCATCTATCTGTATGTGTAAATACACAAACCTCTAAGTGTTCATAGCAGTGGAAAAAGGTCATCTAGTAAGTATGATATGCTAATCTAATAAAAAATGCACGAGTCTGGCAGACAGGAAACTTGGGTTGACCTCTGAGAAAAATTCAAATAGAAGGAGAAAAAAAGCCTTAGGAACTGTTTTTGACTATGATAACTGATTGAAGAAGATGTGGAATTGTTATTCATTCTGGTCATATGAGCAGTAAGTGAGTAGTTCTGCTAAAGAGAATCATTATCTTTGCAAAATCTGAACCTCTGGCAATAATAATTAATATGTTAAGATTTGAATTGGAAAAAAAAAAAAGAAGAAATGTTATCTCAAAATGCTTGTGCACTTTTGATAACATATCAACAACCTCAAAAAGTTTTTAAAAGCTTTGAAGAATTGCACATTTGGTAGATTTTTATCTGCAGTTTTTTWAAAACTTTCTCTTTCTGAAAGCTAGTAAAAAGGAGGATGTTCTTTTCTATCTTGATATGAAGTAATAAAAAGGGATATATTCTTTTCTGACAGATTCTCTGAAAGAGTTAATATCTCTCAGTCTGAGTATTTACAGTCTAATCAACTTATTTTATTGTCTTACTTTAATATATTATTCTATCATTTCAGTTACATCTGAAAGCGATTCTCATGTTTAAAATGTTTTCATATCACCTAAGATCAAAATGGAAAAAAATTGAAATCTCACTTGTTCCTCATGCATGGAAAACACTTTCTGGGGAGAGTGCCGGTGTAGAGGAAGGACATAACACATTGCCTTCTGGAGCCCGTAATAGGGAGTCTGTCCATCTCATTGGCAAAATGCAGGTCTTTCCCAACCTTTCCTGTTATATTAACTCAATTTTCCCTCAATAAGAAAAGCCTGAGGGTGGAAGTGCAAAAGATGGTTTGAGAGGTCAAGGACTTTTGAAATCCTGTCTCTTTGGGTTGGGCCTAAAGAATGTCCACAGAAAGTGCTCTCAGCCCAGGTCTCCTGTGCAGGGGAGCACCAGGAGGAGATGCGTGAGGAACAGATGCAAGTTGCCTCACTCTTTATCATTGTCACAATTTTTTAAATGCAAAATTTAATCCCTTCTTCCTTTTGTAAAAAAAAAAAAAAAAAAAAAAAAAANATCCTGTCTCTTTGGGTTGGGCCTAAAGAATGTCCACAGAAAGTGCTCTCAGCCCAGGTCTCCTGTGCAGGGGAGCACCAGGAGGAGATGCGTGAAGAACAGATGCAAGTTACCTCACTCTTTATCATTGTCACAATTTTTTAAATGAAAAATTTAATCCCTTCTTCCTTTTGTAAAAAAAAAAAAAAAAAAAAAAAAAAAAAAAAGAATAATAAAAATAAATCTACATGGAAAGATGCACACAGTGTGGAGGAACCCCCTTACTCTCTTCTGTAAGTTCCCATTCCTGACTCGTCCCCATTCCCCATCTGACTCCAACCAAGTGCCCCACATTTGCCCCTTGGTTCTGCTTTTCCTCAGTCCACCAGCAATCTGGGCTCCCTGAAAGAAGGGTTATTCAACAGGGGTTACTCTTGTGGAACATAGATCCAATGTGAAAAGCACAGTGTAGAATATCTACCCAGGAAGTTTAAGGTTTACAGGCTGCATTGTGGATGAAGATATATGTTTAAAAAAAAGACATACTGATCATCTGGAATTTGTGTCAGGAACACAAGGAACAAGCAGTGTGCTGGTTCACCTTTGGAATTGCAGCATTGCCCTGCAGTGTGCTGCTCCACACACTCTGCCTGTGGGTRCAGAGCTGTCTCTTCTTACTGGCACTGAACTTGGCTCCTACATGTGATGGTCTGTAGCTCTGGTACCAGGTGTGATAATGCAACACAGTCTCCCATTTCCCAGTCTCTGACAAAAATAAACTCTGCCTTCCTTATGCCCTCTAAGTTGTCTCTTTTCAAGGCTGAAAATCTTTCACCTCCAACAGGAGCTGTTCCAGACCTTTGATTAACCTTACCAACTTTTTCTGAAGGTTTTATATTTCTCATTTACCCTTCTGTTATTATAGGACCATGTGGGCAAGGTCCAGATATTTAAATTATTTGCTACGTGATTTTCTCTTTTTTTTCTTTCCCAGTAATTTTTAATATTGAATTTTCCTCCTCCCCCACTGCTGAGCTGATCTGTGTATGTAACACCTACCAGAACACAAACCCACTGCRCTGTGTGACAGCAGTCACTTCAAGTGTAACATTTCACCAAACCTGCAGCTAAAACTTAGCAAGAAAATCAAAGCTTCCATCAACAGAGTAACAAGCCAGAAAGCTACTGCTCTTTCTGGTTTGAAAATGAGGCAGAATTTGTCATGTCCATTCCTTTATTTTACCAGGAGATGGTGGCACAGGGCTCCTTTTCTGATAATCCCCAGAACTCAAGGCTCCACGTATAACAGTTCTACCTGCAGAAAACCGTGTACAAGAACCACACTAAAAGGTTGGCTTCTTGCAAGGATCTCACTCATAGCTGGTATACTGAAAYAATAACATTTTGCTAGTAGAATTTGCCCTATGGACCTTTTTCTCTTGGTGTAARAGCAAAAAACTTATAGAGTGACAAGTTCACCAGAGAATAAAAGTTCTTACTTTGAATTGAAGTTGTCTACCTGGAGAAATCTCCTGCGATTAAATTAAATTTAAATTGATTCCTTACATTCTTTATTCTTGTAATGCAAATGTGGCCTTACAAGCACTAAGAAAATCCCTTATGTAGATAAGGGACACAAAATGTCTTAGAATTTCACTTGTAAGATTTACCCAAGGGACACAGCTCACCATTGAAAGATAGAGGAACAGAGAAATAAATGCTAACAACTGTCCCTTGGATATAAAGTATGGCATTTTTGATGGTTAGAGAATCTGCATGTATGAGAACAGCATACCTAACAGCACTCATACACATTTTAGGACCCATTACATCTTTCATCTTCTCTGTGCACAGATGTTTGTTCCTGCTCTGAGGTCCTTTCCTGGCTGGAACCAAAGTTTTTGTGATGACTACCACAGTTAGGCTGGACTTGATAATCTTGGAGGTCTTTTCCAGCCTTAATGATTCTATGATTCTGTGATCTTGTTTTATGTTGTTTTTTCATTTAAAGTATTTTTCTTCATCAGAGGATCTTCCATGTGGTCTAATTTTCCTGCATGAAACATAGTAAACAACACAATAATTTTTCCTTAATAAGGTATTAAAGTCTTCCTCAGACCTTCCATATGAGAATCACATTGCTGTTAAGTTTTCCARCCATAAAGAATACAGCCTTGTTTGGTAAAGTAATAATCATAAGAATTTTGTTTTCAGATGGCTTATGGAAAAGAAATGGAACACAATAAAAAATAAGAGAAATAAAGACTCATTTGTATAAATAAGGTTCATTCACATGAATAAATTCATCTCCAGCAGTAGGACTGAACTGAAAAGGTACTTTCATCATTGAAATTCTTTTTTGCAGGAAGCCAGTAAAATAATTTTCAGCAACATCAGTGTTAA